ATATATTTTATTGATTTTTTACAGAGAGGAAGGGAGAGAGATAGAGAGTTAGAAACATCGATGAGAGAGAAACATCGATCCGCTGCCTCCTGCACATTTCCTACTGGGGATGTGCCCGCAACCCAGGTACATGCCCTTGACCGGAATCAAACCTGGGACCTTTCAGTCCGCTCTATCCACTGAGCCAAACCGGTTTTGGCATCCAGTGCTCTTTTTAACCCTAGGACCAGGTTCAAAGTTCTTATCCCCATTTGTTGGGCAATTCTTAATAGAATGGCCAGGTTTACCACAGTGGAAACAGGTATAAGATGGAGGTGGTGGACCTAGAGGCTTCTTCATGTAATTGATTGGGTCGTATTCATGGCCAGATTGCAACATCATTGCTTTAATTTTATCTTCTTCAGAAGCATTGGCTTCAGCCAGATTGGCAGTCTTTGTAAGCTGGGCCAGAGAAATAGATGCAGAAGAGTCATCAATTGCTTTTGAAGTTCCCATCACTGGTTCAGGTCGACTTATAACGTACCTCTTGCTTGTAGATTTAACACCTCCAATAGGAATTCTTCTAACAAATACAGATGAATTCTTAGGAATCAGAGCATTATCATCAGTATATTCTTCCTTGGTCTGCGCGTTGGTGATTTGCAGGTCGCAGTTGGCAGCTTTCAGCTTCTCTCTCCCCATAATCTGCTTCTTTAGGTCGCAGAGGGAGATGTGCAGTCCATCAAAGGTGACGGTGTCATAGTTGAGTTTGGAAGCGAATTTATAATGCACACAGGACATGGTGCCAAAGGACTCCTAAGGATCGGTGAGGAGACGTGGACACGCTCGATATATGTCTATTTATCAACTTAAGAGCAGAACATGTACCTACACAGAACACTCACAAGACACCGAAGGACCGAAGGCCTCGGGTTAAACACCCCCTCCCCACCGAAGGGGCGTGAGAACCGCAATCCAGACCCCGACCGTGGTGTCACTGCGTGTGCAGGAGGGCGGCCGAGGGAGGGAGGGCCAGGTCCCCCTCTCTCCTGCGAAGGGCCGGCAGGCGGTCAGTACACACGTTACAAGTCCGAGTGACCCAGTGGGGTCAGGGGTCCATAGCGCGGCCGCACCTCCCGGTGGCTCTCTCCGTGGTTCGGGGGGCCCCCGGCCCCG